TTCTAATGGTATCCAAGTTCTCCATGTTTACCTACATGGTTCACATGCAGTGCCTGTCACTTTAAAGTTGCACTTAATATTGTTCACTTTGTGTCTGAAGATCTAATTTTCCCAGTTTGAATGGATTGATAAAATGGGCCTTGCATAATTTTCATGGATAACAGAAGATAAAAGTTGTTTTCCAGACAGCATTTTGAGTACTAAAATGGGGTGCTTGAAATAAATGCAAAGAAATGCCAAAGATATTTGTCATAGCTGGTCTCAGTTACAAATCCCTGTTGCTCAGGACAGAGCTCTGAAGTATTTTACCTCATTCTGGTGGTAGAGAGGTAGACTGAGTGATCCAGCCCAAACTCTCTACTTGAAAAATCCATTGCTGTAAAGCTAAAGAAAATATGTGAAAGCTTAGAACTCTGTTATAACTTGTAGGGATCCCTTACATAGGGAAACCAGATATGCATAAGAGAAACAAATCTAATACTGGGGGTCAGTTGCACCCTTTTCAGTGCTTCTGGGTTTGTATTTTAGAGGCCAGACAAAATACAGATGAATTTTACTTATGTACTTGAGCCTCTCGAATAAAAATCCTAGATTTGGAGTATTTTAAACCATGGGCAAATATCTCTGTCAGTCAGGATCAGAGTGAGATATTGTACTGATGTTCATGGTCTGCTCAGAAAACAGGAAATCAGTGATTTAAAGCAACTCTGGCTCTTGTTATTTGATACAGTGGGTGCAGACCAACTGCCTGATTCACTTCTCTGCTGGTTCCATGTCTGATCTAATGAAGGAGATGCAACTCCAACTCACTTGGGTGATCTAATCCATCCCTCAGTCGCAGTGGCATTGTTCTGGTCAGATTGTTGTTCCTACAAACATTATGTTCTTGGAAGAGAGCTTATGGTCAGTTATGATACTGAGCTGTGTGTTCCTTTGACAGTTCTGGTGCTGAGAATATGAGGGGAAAAAAGGAATGGGCTTGAATGTGTTCTTTCTCTGATAGGTTTATGGAAACTTCAGATACAATAATACGTACTAATTAGAACAAGTATAGATGAGCTGGTCAAATAATCTGCAGGGTAATGGATAGATCAGCATGAAGTGGTGATTCTCAGTAGGTTGAGTGATGGAATGTCATTTTCTACTTGTGTCTGAGGAGAAACAGACCTCTTAAAGTCAGACCCAGGTAGAAGGAAATCAGGTTGTTCTTAGAGCTCTGAGTGAGCACAGCCACAATGTGCAAGGCTTCCCTCCTGGGAGAGAGCTGGGGGCAGCACAGATAACCTGCTTTGGTTGGTGTGGGGGGGGGGGGGGGATCTTTACATAATTCTGCAAATTTACAATGTTTTTTCAATTAGGATAATGTTTTCTGAAAGAGAATTAGTCAAGATCCAAACTGTTCTTGAACTTGCCTTTGAAACTGTGGAGACCATGAGCAAATGCATTAGCAGGAGCCTCATTCAACAGTGGAAAATACTTTTGTGTCCATACTCCACTGCAACCTTTATCTTGCACATAGGAATTACAGCAGACTTTTTGTCACAGGAAGTGATGCTTTACAACTGCATATTATTTAATGTAGTTGAATACTGAGGAATATGGTAGAACACAGCTTATATTCTAATACAAGCAGCTCTGTGTGCTATGGTCGAGAACTGTAAATCACAATGAAAAAATTTAATCATGTGAAGTGACTATTTCAAAAATACTTGAAATAGTACTGATTCTATTCTGATCATTGATCAGAATAGAATCAGTACTCCTTCTGATCATTGATGGGCTTCATGTCAGGTGTGCCTAATCATTTGAGTTAATTTAACAGGAGAGAGTAGGCATAACACTGAGGAAAGTTTCATGGATGCCTAATTAAAAGCCAATAGGTGTTCTGAGTATATGCACACAACTGAGTTTTCCAATTGCATTTTTTATTCTTAAATGTTATCTATATTCTGTTAAAGATATTTTAGAATAATATAAGTAGCCTGTAATACTTTCATCTGTTTAGGTGCGTAAGTCTAAAAAATAATATTATAAACTGGAATACTAATAATAAATAATAATAAAGTCTTTGTGACTTCATTTAAAATAGAAAACTAGACAGATCTCTTGTGCATCTTCTGGTTCCAGTTTTGTTTTGAGGAGTGATGATGCTGGAAGATTCCTTAGCTCTTGCCAATTTATTGACTCCTTCCATAGTTGTTGAAAAGGAAGGATTTACTGCCAGTATTATCACATGTGAAATCACAGAAGTTTTTCAGAAAGATTTGGGCTGGTACTTTCCATATGGCTGTTTCATTCTTGTAGTGCTTGTAATGTCTTTGAAACATTTATGTTTAGAAAACCTTGGGGTTTTTATGTTTGATTTTTCTTCTTGAAGTCATTAAACATTACTTGTGCCACTATTGTTGCAACTATAATAATGATTGAAACTGGAGAGGGAGAGGTAGTGGATGAAAGAAGGAAGGGTTTGGGAAAGATTTGATTCAAGTCCCTCTACTTCCAGCCTTTAAAAATACCATATTGGAAGTCAGTAGAAAGCTGGAGGTAAATGCTAAATTGTTTCTCTCCAATTTATCTATATGGCTAGTATTGTTCAGGAGGCTTAGCTAAAGGGATAATGAATGTATATTTGAGTACAAAAATTCTTGAAACTGAAACTATCAAGTATTTACAGTGGCCTTTTAAGTCTGTTTTGACATTAGTTAATATCTTGACAAACTATTTTGGTTCAGGCATTTTAAGTGAGGTTTTTTTCTCTTACATGAACATACCTCTTGATCTCCTTTCTCATAATATTTTGTGGATTCTTCATGAATTCACAGGCATTGATGTGGCATTTGATTTGAGAAATGTTGTAATAATAACATTATAATCTGTAACAGGGTGTTTCTTTTGGTTTTGGTTACCAGCCAGAGGCTCAGGGAACCCAAACAATATTCGTAGTGGTGAAGCTCATGGGTATTGTTGTTTGTATAATTATGATTTCCAAAAGGAATACAATATTTTTGTTGTTTTCCAGAAGGCATGTAGCTGCTAGATTTTCTTTTTTTTTTTTTTTAAAAGCTTTCTATATATTGCCAGTGACCATTTTTTGCTGACTTATTTGGAGACCTGTTAATATTTCAGTTACTGAAGGTTTTAGTTCAGCCAGTAGACTTTTCATTTGCTCTTCTATTTTGATCTAAGTTTCTGCAATTTGTTCCCCTCTGAGTCAGGTGATGCTGGGAATAGGCGTGGACAGATCATCTGGAGCCAAGTGAGATGTCCTCCATGCAGGGCAGCAGGCTTTGTGGAGAAGGAGAACATGAAAAACATGGTTTTGTTTCCACTTATGCATTGCAGCTAAGATGCAGGGGGAAAGCTGGTATTTTCAGTATTATAAATTACTGAGTAAATAGCCCTATGATTAAAATAATTAAGTTCCCTAGACTGTTCTGTATTGTTCAGCCTAAATGCTGTGCACTGAAGCTGTGAGACATCTGAGGATGAAACCCAGCTCTGCCAATCCCGTCCTTTGGTTTGGAATCTCTTCATCAATGCTTGCATATTTTGTTTTTTAATTTTCAGGAGTTAGAAGATAAATAGGTAGGCTGGGATTATAAAATGGGCTACTAAGGGATAATGCAGTGGTTGGAGATTGATTTGAGAATAGTTTAAGCTGAATAAGAAAGTAAAGGCTTGAATGCTGAGAGTTGCACAGTAGCATTTGGCATGAACCTTTTCGATAGCTTTGATGCTAAGTAAAGGGAGGTGGAAGAAGAAATTATGCTGAGAATTAAGATCTGTCCTAGCAATGCTGTTGTTCTATACACAGTCACAGTATAATCTATTGTATTTAGATAAAAGCATACTAAAAATGATCTCTGGAACTGAGCATTCTCATGGAGAGTTCAGTTCTTGGATCTGTATGTTGAGATTTCAGCCCTTCAAAATGCTGTGTATAATTTTTCTGTACTAAGGACTTTTGTTGGAGTATGTAAAATTTATTTAGGAGATATTTTTTTATTTTATTTCCTAAGATACCATTTCAGTATTAAAAGCTATCTAATGCAGGCATGTATGAAACAGAGTGATTATCTACCCAAGCATCCAGCATTAGTATGAATGCAACAGGAGACACCATAAATGTATTACCAGAAAAACATTTTGGTTACATGCAATTTGAGGGGACTGGTATACTTATTAAGGGTGGTGGTTTGCTGAGCTGAAAAAGAAAAAAGCCAAAAATAAATCATTATTAAGCTAAACCGGTTTAGTCTGATCAAGCTGAGCCTAGACTGATCTCTAAAAGCTTATTTCATTCTTCTCCTTTCCTTGAAATAAGTAATACAGTAGCAAGCTCATTAAGACCAAAATTGGATAGCATCTAGGAAATTTTAGTATAAATAGTGATTGGTGTTTCACTTTTCCTATAATATTCCTGATATATGGAGCCTCATATTTTAGTCACAGAAATGCTAGCTATATGTTTATGAGCATTCAAATCTTCCTAAGAAAGCTTTGAGAATTTTCTATTTTAGTATATGGAATACTATAGACTAGGAAGGGGTGGGCTTTTGTATTACTGATTATTTTGTAGTGATGGTTCACCTATACTTCTGATGCTGCAGATGCTTAAGGGAGTATATTTAAGCTATTCCACAGTGTGGGTATATCTGATTATTTGCAGATAGTACTGTGGGTACTGCAGCACAGATGATGTAAATATCAACATAATTGAGGTCATGGTAATCTTCAGTCTCATGAACAGAGGAAGAATGATCTAGGGCGCTCAAATATGTGGTAATTTTAAGTGATGGAGTTCTCAGACTATTTGCTTTCTACTTTTTGAGTTGTGGACTCTTCTAGAAGGTCAGTTGTCTTAGAAGCCAGCAGGGTGTCATGTGTGGCTGATGCATCACAATATTAGCATATATCATGTGCCAAGCATATATGAGTGCTTCTCATGCACTCATGTGCAATTAATTGTTTCATTCTTTTTGTTCTCCTTTCTTCTATAGGTGACAAAGAGGGTCAAGTCCATGCAGATGTTCCATACTCCTGTGACTTATGCAATGCAGGGTGACAGAGTAGGTGTCTGCGTGACCCAGTTTGATCCCAAACTGCTGGAACGAGGCCTGATTTGCACCCCAGATTCACTTCACACCATCCACGCTGCCATAATTTCCTTGAAGAAAATTCAGTATTTTCGAGGAGCTCTTCAGACTAAAGCCAAGTTCCACATCACAGTTGGTCATGAAACAGTTATGGGAAGAGTGATGTTTTTCAGTCCAGCCCCTGCTAACTTCCATGAAGAAATTCAAGAAAATGTTTTTGATTTTGAAAAGGATTATCTTTATCAGGAGGAATATTTGTCCAAGGACTCAGTTTCTTCAGAGGAGAACAAAGAAAATGACCACTCAGGAGAAGTCCAGCTCCCAAAACAACAGTGGGCTTTGCTGGAGTTTGAAAAACCGGTCACTTGTCCTAAACTGTGCCTTGTGATCGGCTCTAAGCTGGATACAGATATTCATGCCAATACCTGCAGGCTGGCATTCCATGGGGTACTGCTCCAAGGCATGGAAGACAAAAACTACACAGAGACTTTCCTTCCAAAGCTGAAAGTGTACAAACAGAAGCACAAAGAAGGACAAGTGGAAAGGGTAAGCTGTCTCTCTGTGCTATATATGGGAACTGGAAGTATTTGTCCTGTACAGATGTTGGTGGGCTACAGAATTGTCACTGTGTTCCAGAACCTTTACATGGGTCTTTCTAATGTTTGTATTGCCCTGTGTATTACATCTGGTCTGCCTGCAGACAGAAATCACGATTTAAAGTGACTGGTTTATTCAGTGCAACCCAGTTGAGTAATTTGGTGCTGTTTTTTCGCTGATCCTTTTGGAGTCTGATCAGTGTGTTCCTCCCAGAGACTGCTTTGTGCACCTTCCTAAGTGACAAAACATCCAGCTTTCCACTGATGTATTTTACACAGTCTGCAGTACATTGAAAATGTAAAGACAGTGGAAAACAAAGTAGGATTTAGTTAAATAACACAAAGAACACAAGTAATTTATTTTTTTTTTAAATGTATCTTTACATTTTAATGAATAACAGTATTTATTTTAGTAGACAAAAAGAAATTTCCTACAGGATGCCTTACAAGTGATAGCATGTTGAAGTTGCAGTCAGGTTCACATGGAGAAATCAAGCTGTACCTAATGCATGTTGTTTCTATGTCACACAGGTAATAATAATCATCACAATCATCATCATCTGCTATAGTGCTTGTATTTGACCCATCTCAGTGTAGCAGAAAACAGAGATGCTTTCTGGAGGAGTTAGCAGCTACAGTGAAAATTAAAGGGGATTTGTTTGCACTCTGCTGTCAGAATTGGAGAGATGAGCTCTGTAGTGGTTGGTGTTACATTGCTGGCATAGTCAACAGTGGGGAATCACTTGTTTACACATTGCATAGTAGAATTTTTCATGATAAATGGTTTAGGTGGAGATGTACAGTGTATAAATAACTTAATTGTTTACCCCTTAGTGAACAAAGTTGACACAAACTTCAGCATTTTTTTACTTGATGTATTGGTTTGGTAGGTGATCTATTAAATATTGGATAAAAAACTCTTTTCTTTAGATTTTCCTAACTCAAAACTTCATTGTTTGAACAAAACATTTGACATTGTTCTTTTCAAAATTCCATAAAGCTGAGTTGAGGATTGCATAATATCTCTCCTTAATTTGCCATAGGAGACTAAACACTTGGCATACGATACTGTGTTTGCTATGTATAATGCAGACTCCTTGAATATTGTTTGTTTGCTTTACTAATTTAATAGTAGGAAGATCCCTGCTAGGGCATGATTAGTGAGGTTCTTCAAAATGCCTCACTGAATTCATCAAATAGCTAATTCATATTTCTTTGGTTTTTTTCCTCAGGTTTCTGTTGAAATTTTAGCTCTTAACAAAAAAGGAAATACGAGTTTCTTCTTTGAATTTTCACTACTGATTTTGGAGGCATTGTATTGGTTTTTTGAATGCCAGTTTTGTCACTAGAAAGGAAGGTAGTTAGGAGGAGGATGTCTGGAGCTTTCTGAATTTTTATCTTTGTTTTTATGGGTTACCTGAAAAACCAAAAATCCGTAGTCACTCTTCACAATTTTGGTAGCAGGTGTATTGTCTCCTTTGTTTGACATGTGCAGCTGCCTTTCTCCCTGGCTGATGGAGATTCTGAACTAGAATGAGGGGTCCAAAGTGTTCTGGGCTCTAAGCTTCAGAGAATCTCTAGACCAAATATCTGTGTCTGACATTCTCCTGGCACTCAGGAGTTTTCTGAACTCATGAAACATTTGCCTGTATCTTAGCTAAAGATTGACGCACTTGTGCATGGCCCATGCTGCCAGGATCCAGTGAGACCTGGCTTACAATAATATAGCAACAGATGCTTTTCTAACTGAGATGAACTGGTCTCACATTGTTTATTTTTGTTCCCAATACATGGCACTAATCTATGGCACTTAAAAACTTTCAGAGTACCAACTGTGTAAGTTGTCTGATGGGGTTAACAGCTTGCTGTTAGCCCTAGTCATACAATTTTAATTGTTTTTATTTAGTGTTACTTTCAAACCGTTAGCCAGTTTATATATTCTGTTCTTGATTTTACTGTGTAAATAATGGAATGCCATTAATCAATTACATATAATTTATTTTCTGGCCTAAGCAACAAGCAATGAAAATGCTTTATTTAATATTTGACCAACAGGATAGTTTATTAGGATATGTTAGTGAACTGTTTTGTTTTCCTGTGCCTTTTAAAATGTAGATAAGGAAGGTTTATTATTTTATCCTGCCTTTGTACCACAGTGTGCCCTATATATGTGCCTTGATCACTGTGTGTATGGATACTAACTGGTCCTGTAAAGGGACACTTGCCTTCAAGTAATTTCTGCAGCTTTGTTTGTACCCAGATTCTGCTTCCCATAGTACTGAAGATACTTGGAGCTGGCATTTTCCCTGATGCATGCTGAAGGGATAATTGAGCAATTATTGTAGGAAAGGCTCATGGTGTAAAGTCCCAGGAGCACTGAGGACTTGGAAGGGTTGGTGGGAAGAGGACCGTGCCAGGTATGAGGGGCCTGCTGGGGAAGTACTTACAGCCAAGGTAGCTGCTGCTCAAGTCTGCGCTTTGCAGAGCACAGCAGCAGGAACAATTGGGTGGTACAGAGACTTATTTTAGTACACAAAGTCACCAGCTAATAGAAAATTTGAATCAGCTGGTTCCACCCTGCTGCTGATGGATGGCTGGAGATTAGGATCGCTGAATTTAGGGTGTCTATTCTTGGCACCAATACAGGAAAATTTCTTTCTCTGTTGAGCAAGGAAGCTCCCCCCTCCCCACCTTCCCTGGGGAGGCATAAAATAATAATAATAATTAAAAAATACAAGTTACCTTCACAAGAAGTGAACTTTTTCTTTAGAGAATACTGCTGGGGAAAATTAGCTTCATAGCTTCCTGAAAGGCTGGAAGAGAGGGAGGCAGGGGCATGTAACGTCCGCATTCCCGGGTTCGCGATACAAACATACTTCCATAACTGGGATGCCGTGGAATTCAATAGTGCCCATTTGTAAAGCATTGCTGCTAATCTGATGTGGGGTCTCCTAAGCCCCCCTGCTTGCTGCTGGAATTAAAATAAATTCCCTGCAGTTTAACTACCAGTTTACCCAGGAGAAATCAGGCATTTATGGTTTGGCTTTTTGTTCCTATTCTGATTACTTTCAGAGCACTGATTGAATAGTAAGAACTGTAAATTCATTAAGTTTCGGCATCACAGTATTTTTCTTGTGTATCCCTTGTGCATGGCACCCTTCTGGACTGTAAGGTTAATTTTTTTAATAAAACAAGAATATTTTTTCTCCAACATTTTTTGTCTCTCTACAAGAAAGTCTGACATTTTTCCTGTTTCACATAAAAATGAAATCCATGGAAAATATAGCATTTACTACACAATATTTTTTAAAAAGCATACTAAAGCTAGCAAATTTAGGTTTTCAGGTAGTACATTTTACTGAAATTTCATGCCTGAGCTTCCTGTTTTTTCTCATCTGCTGAGGTAATGGAAAATGTTCTACAAAAATTCGAGTTCCCTGTCATCGCATTTTTTACTGCTCACTTTTCCCTTTTGGTATCTTACTTCTCTAATGCCAGGATTGAGTGGAGCACTGGGAAAGAAAGAATCAAACTTGACTGCTGTTGGTCATCAAAATCCTTGCATTTACCTGTTGATGCCTAGAGAGGGTTGACCTAGAACAGAGGCTAGACAGGTTTAAGAATAAAGTAGGTATTTACTGAAAGGCATTAAAGGATACACCTTAGGCAGTACAAGAGCCTGGCCAGGGCTACACCCAGGCCAAAATGGACTACTGGTCACGAGGCCATGCATTTTTATGTTTTGGTTCATGTGCATATCAGGGTTAATTGTTCAATCCCTGCTTCACTTTATGAAGTCCCATCTTTCTTGTTTTCTCTCTTCAGTCCACCGTTGTTTATGCTTTTGGGTCTGAAACTTGGAATGATTGTCCTTGGTATCAATCTAGAAAAGGAATTATTTTGTCTATCTACTCTGGGAAAAAAGCTCACTAACAATACGAAGCTTAAAACTACACAGCTAGGCACCACAGAATATGAAAAACATAAAAGCTAAAACTCAAGGCATCACTGTCTGCAGTGCATCCTTGTTTATTCATCTGCTCATTTTTTTTGGGGTGAAGGGGGGTAAAGGGGACTGTGTATTACTGTGATCTATGACAAATTAATATATGAGAAGTTAGAGTTGTCTGAGGTGCAGCTTAGTCCATGAAATTGAGATCCTGGGATTGCATCTTGGTTATGAAAAAGTTTTGCACGATTCTACTGCAGTAATGGTTTTTCTGGTATTATACCATTTGATATTTTTGAGCTGTTACAAAAATGTGTGAATGCTCTGTTTTGCTTTAGACCACAGGGGTTTTTTATGTTTAAGTATGGTAAGTTTTAAGGAAAACCAAAATATGCTATCCATCCTAAGAGGACAGTGGCAGAGGTTTGTATTTGCTTTACTTGATGGTTTAAAAAACAGTGTGAAATACTAGTCCAGCTTTCTCTTGCAGAAAGGATTTGAGGGGAGAACTTCAGTGGGAGGAAGTTTCTGTCAAGAACATCTTTCTGGTGTGGTTATGTGGAGGCAGAGACTGTCGCCCTCTGGACATTTTATTTTTGCAAACTCTTGGCTGCCTGACAAATGTGCTTTCAATAGGAAAAAGCTAGGCTGGCAACAAGTGGCTTGTGCTGATAAAAGTAAAAGAGAGTGCTATTATGAATGCCAGTGCAGCTCTAAGGAGCCTGATGTGGGAATCTTGGTGAAAAAAGGGCAGGTTTTGTCCCTCTGATTTGACATTCAGTGCTGGCGGTGGATGTGGGCTTGCTGAACTGCAGCAGGTCAGCAGCTCCTGGAGTTGGAGACAAATTACAAGTACAAGCAGCAGCTGTTGTCCTTGGGCTTCTGGAGACAAGCTGCTCAGCATTCAGCTTGCCCAGTTCTGTGGGCAAAGAGACTTGTATTAATCCTAACACCATCTCTGAAATACCTTCTTTGAATTTAACCTCTGCACAGCCTTGCAG